TCGTCTCGTATGTTTGTAAGAATGTTACAAAAAGATCCCTTTCGTACATAAGGGATGGAATTGGAATATTTTTTTTGTAAAATATAAAGGACCTTTTTGTTGCGAAAAGAACCTTTTTGTAACTTTTTTGCAAACATACGAGACGAAAATAAAAAATGCAATTCGAGGAGGGCGAAAAAGTTAGGATTGTCAAACGCACAATACTAAAATCATATTTTACTCTATATTTTATAAGTAACTGATAATATGATCTTTCTGTTCGACACATCGAACCATATTATCTACAGTGTAAAATAAAAGAACTTATGCTTGCATAGATAAATAAACGGCAAACTCACCTACTTGACTAAAACATAATTCTCATTCAAAATGGTATTGTTAAAAACTGAAGACCGAGCTTTTATAGTATAGCCTAACAATCTCTCACTTATACTCGATAAAGCTTTCAACTATTATTAAGTATATTTTATTTCAGTCTAATTCTCAAAGACTAATTTATCTAGTCGCCATACGCCTGAATTTCATTCCTTCTATGTGTTGGTCGAAGAACTTAGCCGGTAAGCTCTTCGTAAAAGGATCTGTTAAGTTGTCCTCTGACGCTATCTTGATAACAATGATTTCTCCTCGTCAAAGGATATCTCGTATCAGATGGTACTTGCGCTCTATGTATTTACTCGACTTATGTGTTCATGGTTCTTTCGAGTTTGCTACTGCCCCACTGTTGTCAAAAATGATCGTGATCGTAGCAGGCAAACTCAGTACCACATTAAGGTCTAACAAGAAGTTCCTGAGCCACACTACTTCTTTCGCTGCCTCTGAAACTGCGACTTATTCGGCTTCCATGCTGGAGTCTGCCACGCATTTCTGCCTAACACTCCTCCGAACTATGGATGCACCTCCCAGAGTAAGCACAAAACCTGAGGTGGATTTACTTTCATCCCGGTCTGACTGGAAATCAGAATTAGTGTAACCCAAAGGGAGTAACTCGTTTGCTCGGTAAACTAACATATACTCTTTAGCCCTTCTCAAATACTTGATTATATGCTTCACCGCAGTCCAATGCTTCTGTCTTGGATTACTTTGATATCTGGCTACGATTCCCACGACATAACAAATATCTGGCCGCGTACGCAAGGTTTCCTACTGTCGATGCATAAGGAACCGCTTTCATATCTTCTATCTCTTGAGGTGTATTTGGAGACATCTTCTTAGACAGAGGGATCTCATGCCGAATGGGCAATTGCCCGCTCTTAGAATCTTGCATGTTGACAGTATATGTGTACGAAGATTGAGATAGGCACGACATTCTCTTCTCACGATATTGAATTACCTTGGTCTCTAGTATGTGTCATGCTTCTCCCAAATCCTTCGTATTAATCTGCTTGGATAATCATACTTTCACGTCTGATAAATTCTTCACACGGTTTCCAATGAAAAGAATGTGATCCACATATAGCACAAGAAAAACATGCACCTTAGACACTTAGGAACAAAAATTGAACCCTTAGGTATTTAGGACTTAGCCACAAAATCACTTTAGTTGTAATAGGCTTGGCTTGGTGCACAAACATGGCCGAGTTCTTGGAAACACTTATGCTTAAGACTTGGCTAATTTAAGAAGAAAATTTGAAAATGTTATATTGTTTTGTACTTATGTTGTATCTATTCGTGTTCTACAGTTGGTTAACTCTTATTCGTGTGCTCATAATTGTTTTTTCTTTGCCGGCACTACAACATAAATGGCTTTAGGTAGTATCATCAAATGTAACACTTTATAAATAGGTAATACTTT